TTACAGGGAGGGGGCATTCTTTCTACTGGTATTTGAAGTCAAAAGCTACCAAGTTGTTTTTTTTTTCTTTTTTTGGTAAAGATTTATTTATTTATGCATACAAGAGCTGGGGTACAGGCCAGAGATTTGGGAGTGAGAGGATTCACCAGAGACAGTGGAGAACAGAACAGGCAGATTGACTGGAGAACAGAACAGGCAGATTGAATGAAGTACACCGCTGAAGGGAGCATCGGGGGAGACAGGAGAGGTCTGCTGTGCCATGTGGGTTGCTCCTTGGCCAGCTGGGGATCAAACTTGTGCTGCAGAGGCTGTGGATACCTTCACAGTGTGGTGCTTAACCCCTTGCGCTACCAGGGAGGCCCAAAAGTTACCAAGTTTTCATAAGTTACGGCCACATACATACCAAAGTATTCTAAATAAAAAGCTGAAAAAACTACCAAACCATCAGAAACTCATTAAATTTGCTGAAGATTTCCTGTGGCTTAAAATCCACTTCCAATGTAAAATCTGCTTCTTTCAACTTAAGTACTTGGAATCCTCTTGGAATAGCAAACATCAAATTTAGGAATTAAAGCATAAGCCTCTTAAATACTTTGCATTTCCCTTTTATGTAACTCTTTGAAAGTCTAATGTAAATTATCTAGGGTGAAGGTGCACTTAATATTTCACTATCTATATATTTTAATGCATTACAATCATAATTCTGCATAATGTTTCCTATGTTTATCCTAATACAAGATACACTTTTCCTTAGGCATTACTTCTCCCATGTTTCTCATAAATAGGGTTTATACGAAACACCTCCTCCTCCTCCCCATCCCACCACAGAGATCACTCATGTTTTCCAATTATGTTTCTTTGTCATCTTTTAAACATATCAAAGTGAGTTGGTACTTACAGTACAGGGCCTATTCAGGTGATCTGGAAGAACTTTCCTTTATATGCCTGGTGTAAGATAGGAAAATGGGCAGTGGCAGTGCTCTTTCAGTCTTCCTAGACATGGAGAATGGTATTTCCTGCCAGACTTTTAGAAGGCTACTCTTAGACCTTTTGCTAAAATGCTTGTAGCTCAAAATATTTTGTTGAATTAATTAAGTATAACTTTAGAATTCAGGTTCATCTCATCTACACCTTTAACTTTTACAAGTCAGGAAGCTGATATTGCATTGAGTTTGACTAGATATAACTTTAGTTATGAGCAGCTTTACAAAAATACTAAATCTATATTTTTATATATATATTTACTTATTTTTATGGGGAATTAAAAATTGAATGACCTTTTTAAAGTTTAAAAACCAATTTATTTGAATAATTTGATCTAAAATCAGAATAAACTTAAAGTAATTTTGCTGTTTGAAGGTATGTTCCAAACTCCTTGGAGAGTAAAGAAACATGCATTTAATTACTTGGTAAGACTTTTGCTGGAGAAACTCTGGATTTGATCTCTCTTGTAGCTAAAATCATGTAGTATTGCAATTACTTACTTTCCATGTCGTAGACTAAGAGTAGTCACTGTTCTCCAGACCAAAAATCATGTATGTAGATTAAAATGTGGGCAAGAATACAATCATCCAGATATGCTTGAACACCCAAAGGGATAAATTAGAATCAGTCATATAGAGTAAGTATTTCATTTAAGCATTCATTATGCTTTAACACAGAAGTTTGGAGTAAGAATTGGGCAACTATACATAGAACTGAAGGGGGGAGGGGAGGTGAAGAAGGGTATTATGTTAATAGAACCTTCTTTTTCATTTTATAAAATTAAAAGTAAATCCTTTGGCTTCTTTCCAAACTTCACTGAGGTACTTCCCTACTGAGACAGTGCCTTAAACAACTTTTTCATTATAGTTGATTAAAAGTGGAGTCAGTGTAGTTCAGCATTTACTTGACTGTTAGTATCCTAGAGAAATGATATATTTCTTTCTCTTCTCTTTCCTCCAGTGTTGGGCAAGTTGGTCTTCTTGCTTCCAATGATGGATTACTGTTAATCCAGAGGTTGAGGTGCCTAGTTTAAAGAAAAAAAAAATGTATTTTTATTACATATTGACTGTTAGAAACTATTACAATTTCACTTTATTAGTGTCTTGATTCTCTGTCGTCTTTCTCTTCTCTCAGTTGCTTCTACATTATGGAAGACTCACTTTAGTTAGCACACATCCAGGCCTTTTGGTTATCAAAGAGGCTAGCAAGCTCTAAAATCTAGGGAATCTATTTCTGTGAACTATCTGGCTTTTTAATGTAATCACAGATTAAACATCATAATACATATATTATTACTCCATTATGCTCTCATATAGAGGGTCCAAATTTTCCCAGGGTTGATTTTTGTTTTTTGTTTTAATTAACTATACAGGCCTCCCCAATGGCGCAAAGGTTAAAGTCCCAGCGCTATCAAACTATTGTCAGCCACTGCAGCATGAGTTCAATTCCTGACCAGGGAGTTAACCCACATATGGCGCAGCAGACCTCTCCTGTCTCGCCCGCTGCTCCCCTCAGCAGTGTATTTCAGTATATCCACCTGCTCTTCTCTCTGGTGCATCCTCTCATCCCCACACCTCTGGCATACACCCCAGTTCTTGTATGCATAAATAAATAAAAATAAATCTTTTTTAAAAACTGTACATCTTGGGCCTCCCCAGTGGCGCAGCGGTTGAGCGCTGGGTTGCGAAGCTGCCCGCAGCCTCCGCGGCGCCGGTTCGATCCCCAGCTGCTCCCCTGCCACCGGAGGAGGGTCCCACATGGCGCGCAGACCTCTCCTATCGCCCGCTGCTCCCCTCAGCAATGTACTTCGGTCCTTCTGCCTGCTCTACTCCCCGCTCTGGCTCTGGTGAATTCTCTCACCCTCCCGCGCTTCTGACTGTACCCAGTGCATGTATAAACAAAACAAACAAATAAATAAATAAAACATGCCTCTTAAAAAAAAAAAACTATACATCTTTTTGCTCTGTAAGGCATTGGCATATGTATATGGATGGGTAAAGTGTGAAAGACCATATGTATTTTCTTGATGGAATTTAGTTATTTCTTGGATACTATAGTGGAATACTTTACAAAGCAACATTATAAATGAGGCTGATCTACACACTACCATTACTACCACAGTTCCTTCCCAGTCTGTAAAATATATATATATTTTTTTTTTTTAAATTTTCACCTTTTTCTTTTCTTTTTTCTTTTTTTTTATATAGACGCATGTTTTACTTATTTATTTATTTGTTTGTTTTGTTTATACATGCACTGGGTACAGTCAGAAGCGCGGGAGGGTGAGAGAATTCACCAGAGCCAGAGCGGGGAGCAGAGCAGGCAGAAGGACCGAAGTACACTGCTGAGGGGAGCAGCGGGCTGCAGGAGAGGTCTGCGCGCCATGTGGGACCCTCCTCCGGTGGCCGGGGAGCAGCCGGGGATCGAACCGGCGCTACAGAGGCTGCGGGCAGCTTCGCAACCCAGCGCTCAACCGCTGCGCCACCGGGGAGGCCCAGTAAAATATATTTTAGATTTAGATTAAATATAAATTAAATATTTAGATTAAATATAAAGTATAAAATATATTTTACAGACTGGGAAGGAATAGTGGTAGTAATGTGTAATAGTGTGTAGATAGTGTAGATAGTGTAATAGTGTGTAATAGTGTGTAGATCAGCCTCATTTATAATGTTGCTTTGTAAAGCATTTTATATTTATATTTTAAATATAAAGTATATTTATATTTAAATATAAAATATATTTTATATTTCTCAAAGATTGGCCTGTAACACTTTTTAATTAGCCCAATTCATACTATTCTGGCAGAAATGTCCCAGATAACAGTAATAATAAGATCTTCAAGAAGTTTAGTAGATATTAATACAGTCTGTCTATAACCTTTTATTAGAAGTTTTACTTGCCTATAGGCTAATTTCTTTCAGATTTGGGGCATGTATTCATTTGCATGATAGCATTTTGGTTAAATGAAATTAGAACTCATTTTATGGTCTGCTCTAAAGTATCTAGGCCAGTATGTAGGGTTTCTGGAAATTCTTGGATATTACTGAAAATCGTGATTAAACTGTTAATATTCTGTGCTCACAGCCTGGCATACTTCTACATATTGGCAAAGATGGTATTTTAGACAGCAATAACCTGTGCTAATGGGTCTATTGTCCTCTGGCAGTAAGTTAGCAATTTTTTTGTTCTATATAGCTAATTTATGGAATAAATAGCTTCATTTGATATTTTCTTAAATTGGATAAAAAACTGTTTTATTAAGGTATAATTCACATACCATCGAGTTCACCTACACAAGACTTTTAAGTCAAAGGTTTTTACTGTATACAGAGCTGTGCAACCATAGTTACCATTAATTTTGCTCTTCCCCCCAGCTCTTGGAAATCACTCACCTAACTTTCTGCCTCTATAGGTTTACCCATTCTGACTGTTTCATAAATGGATTTATATGTAGTCTTTTGTATCTCACTGCTTTTACTTAGCTTAATGTTTTCAAAGTTCATCTATGTTGTGGTATATATCAGTATTTCATTACTTTCTATTACCAGAATTTTTATTTTCTTGATTGTTTTCCACAAAGCAGTCACCTGTGCTATTTTAGAGCATATCACAGTTTATCTGTATGTTATGAATTTTAATTTTTTACTCCTTTTTAGAAAATATAATCTGAGCTACTGCCAGTGGCAAGCCCACTTGAACCAGTCATATCATTGTGACTGCAAATCAGTTCATTTCAGTATTGTTTATATCAGTAACCTTTTTTATACATGTGAGAAAAGTTTAGGTCATTTCTCTGTGCTTTCATTAGCGGCTTTTCACTGGGGAAAATTAGTATATGGCCAGAAATAGAATTCCCAGTCCATCCACTGCATATAGATTTGCAAACATCAAAATGCATGGAAGATGAAGTTCTGTTACTAGCTACAGAGTTCTCATAGACATTCAAGATTTTTATATTCTATGTTAATCTTCTTTCTTTTTGTTTGTTATTTTTGGATATGCGTCTTCTTCAGGATCCTTCGAAAAGTAATGAATGCAAAAGGTTGGTATCCCCCTATTGGACTTCCTTAATATGCAATTTATTGTCTGTCGTTTCTCCTATATATATACATGTATAGCATAACTTAAGTGTACATTTTACAACTGTTTTTGTGTGTGTGGCCAAAATTATTGCAAATTTAGTAGATCCTTAGCATTAGCAAATTTTATTTTTCAATCATTTTGAATGGTTGCCAAAAGTCATATCTTGAGTAATTTTAATAAACTTTTGTGACATGTATTGTAATCATACTCAGAGGCAGGTATTCATAAATTAGTAACTACTAGTAAGTCAAGTCTGTAGACTCTATTATAATTCAACCCAGTTTGCTGCTTCCACTTAAAACTTGATCTCATTTAATCCTCACAACCATTCTTTAAAGTAGATGCTATTATTACATTTTTTTTTTTTAAGATTGATTGATTTATGCATACAAGAGCTGGGGTGCAGGCCAGAGATGGGGGTGTGTGAGAGGATTCAGCAGAGACTGAGTGGGGAGCAGAATAGGCAGATGTACTAAAATACACTACTGAGGGGAGTAGCAGTCGAGAGAGGAGAGGTCTGCTGTGCCATGTGGGTCACCTCCCTGGCCAGGCATTGAATTTATGCTGCAGATAGCTTTATAGTGCTGCGTCTTAACCCCTTGCACCACCAGGGAGGCCTCTATTATTACATCTTTACAGAAGAGAAAAATATGTATTACAGTCATTTTAGGAATTTGTGTTTTCTCAAAGGTTTACTTGTGATATATATATCCCTTGCAGTAATATTATTAATATAGTAGCATTAGCTTTAAAAGTTATACATTGCTATTCTTTAAATGTTTCTACTTGAGAATACTGTGGAATCCTTGAATAAGAGTTCATGGTGAAGGTTCACAGTTGTTTTGGTGGTGGTAATTTTTTTTTTATTCTTTTTTTTTTTTTTTTTTAACAATTTATTCATTTATTTATACAAGCGCTGGGTACAGTCAGAAGCGCGGGAGGGTGAGAGAATTCACCAGAGCCAGAGCAGGGAGCAGAGCAGGCAGAAGGACCGAAGCACACTGCTGAGGGGAGCAGCGGGCGGCAGGAGAGGTCTGCACGCCATGTGGGACCCTCCTCCAGTGACCGGGGAGCAGCCCGGGATCGAACCGGCGCTGCAGAGGCTGCGGGCAGCTTCGCAGCCCAGCGCTCAACCGCTGCGCCACTGGGGAGGCCCTGGTGGTAGTAATTTTATGGGGACAACACCAGAAAGAAGAAATCAAACATTGTACAAAATTGAACAACAGGGCCTCCCTGGTGTCACAGGGGTTAAAGTCTCAGCACAATTAAGCTGTTACCAGCCACTGCAGTGTGAGTTTGATTCCCAGCCAGGGAGCTGACCCACATGGCACAGCAGACCTCTCCTGTCTGAGACCTCTCCTGTCTGGCCCGCTACTCCCCTCAACAGTGTATTTCAGTAGATCCGCCTGTTCTCTTCCCCACTCTGTCTCTGGTGAATCCTTTCACATACACCCCCCACTCCCCACACCTCTGGCCTACACCCCAGTTCTTATATGTATAAATAAATAAAAATGAAAAAAAAGGTGCAGACTTAAAGTAAACTGTTAGCAAATTCAGCTTACTTAATATTAAGGACTTATGCACAGCCAGATGATCCATAAAGAAACTGAAAATGTAAGCCACAAACTTGTAACATTTATGCTACATGTAAAACTGATTCAGAATTATACAGAATGCATAAAGAATTCTTGCAAATCAATTTTTAAAAGAATAACTTAGTAAATGAAAAAGATTTTCAGCACCTTACTGAGGAGGAAACAAAAATATAAGCATATTAGGAAAAGTGTTATTTTGTTTTTCAACAGAGATGCAAATTGAAATCATAGGGTATATTTTACACCTACCAGTGGCAAAAATTATAAATTCTAAATATAGGAAGAATTGTTTAAGAATAGATCACTAAAATTCTCTCCTTGGGGAATATAAATGGATGCAGTCACTTTGGAAAGCAATTTGGCATTATCTCATAAATTTAACAGTATGAATAACCTGACCCATTTCTAGGGATATTCTCAAGAGAAATGTGTGCACAAGTATACTGGGAAACAATACAAGAATAGGCATAGCTTTATAATTCAAGATGTTCACGTATGGAAAGCAACCATATTAATAAAGTGAATTAATTCATTTTGGTGTAGTCATACAGTGGAATACTACAACACAATAAAAATAAATGAATCACAACTTGCATGCAATAACCTGAATGAGTCTCTGAGAAGAGAGTTCTGTCTTTGGGCCAGGAAGTTATGTTGAATCTAAATTTCCTTTGGTGCAGTATAAATGCATTTCCTCTGGCTCTGTCCTCGGGGGCAGGTTAAGTATTATGAAAGATTATATGAGGATCAATGGTCAACCATTCTCGGCCTTTTGTACTGAAGAATTTCTCTTACTCAGTGTTTTCTCAAGGATTCTGCCTTTAACTTCTTTGTCTTCTGTGGTTGCTCTCCAAGATAACCGAGTTCATTACTCTTAGGGGGAGATTACTTCAAAGTTCCCATGTGTCATATTGCTGTTTACATGCCAACTTGCTTGTTTTTTTAAACAAACCTACCTGGCTAATATTCTAAACTTGTCCATAGCAGCTTTCTGCCATACATAAATGTACAAAAAATGTTAGGCATGTTTAGGCAAAGAGAATAATTTTTATTCTTGAATCCCTTGGCTTTAAAACCTTTTAATGTCTTAAGATGAAGGGCAGCCAGGTCATTTGGATCACTGAAGAATTATACCTTAAATCTAGCAGTGCTAATAAGCTCTATTAAAGAAGAATTACTGTTTTAAGGAGAGTGATGACTGTCCTGAAACTCCTAAGGAAAGTCTTTCCAAGCCAACTACTATTTACTTAAGTAACACTATCGATGTGTTCTCTGTATTTGTGTGTCCTCATTAGTGTCCAAACTTAACTCAAGATAAAGAAAATGGTTTTGGAATCATACTGATTTACTTAGCTTTGTAATTCCACATACAAGACCTCTATTTCCTATGTATAAAATGAGAATAATAATAGCAGTACCTATTTCATAGGGTTGTTGTGAGGATTAAATTTTTGAAATGCATGTTGTGTTAACTGTGTTTTCTCTTTAAAAATGTAATGTGTTATATGTGAAAAATAAAGTACAAAGAAGAAAAATAAGACTACCCACAATCCAGAAATAATCCATATTATATGTAAAAAGTGTATAAATGTGTGTGTGATACCATACTATAATTGTTTTTAATTTTTAAAAAATTGTTTAATATTGCCATTCCAATTGAGATAATTTTTTTAGACTACAATATGATAAAAGCAGTTAAATTTCACAAAGCAAATCAAAACCTTTTGTCCATAAAAATATTAAAATGTGACTGTTGCAGGATGGCAAATGTTTGGTATAAACTGTTCATGACTTTATTGCTTTTTCCCCCACTTCTAGTTGCTGGTCATACTGGATTTTCCCCATCATAGGCGCTGTTCTCTTAGGTTTCCTGTACCGTTATTACACATCGGAAAGCAAATCCTCCTGAGGAGACCATGTTGAAGTGTGGAAAGCTTATCCATTTGGGAGTGAAAACTAGAGACTTGTTTGGAGGCTGGAATGGTGCCCTCTTTTAGAATCCTGCCAATTGTATTTTTCCCCCTGGGAGCCCAAATGGTTGTCCAGACACCCACCTCAGATCAGGGGCGATGTCCTTCATCTTGGAGCCTTACTCCCAAAGTACCTGCTCATTCTTCGCGTTTCTTGCCAGCTTCCCCTCTCTCCTCTGCTTTCCTCAGTACCTTCACATTTTTGAACTTTCTTTTACAGTTGCAATCCGTATGTCCTAGTGCATTGCTCTTGGGTAAAAATGCGTTCCAGTCTTTGAGTGCGCATTAGACATTCTTAACAGGGCAGCCCATTCTGGTTTTGAAGCTTATCCAATTTTTCTTTTAAACAAAAATAAAATTCTGACTTAATTATTTTTCATAAAGGATTTTATTCATGAAGTTGCTCACCTATAACTTAAGACACAGGTGCCAAATGATCATCTTCCTTGTTTCTATTTGTTAAGACTGCCAAAAGGCATCTCTCCTGCCTCCCCAGCTAAAGTAGCAGGTAGCTTTTGCCTCCCCCTAAGACTAGGCTGTTTTATTCCCAAGTTTGTACTGGACAAAGCTATATTTCTTTATTTCTTGGGAAAAGGGAGAGATGATGAATTGGGGTGACACAGTGAATTCACAGTCATCTTTTCCTCCCCCCCACCCCGCCACCATCTTTTATTGGTAAAATAATAAGTTTATAATTATTTCTGTAGAGCTTTGCCAGACCATTTTGCTGCCTTTCTGTTTATTGATTAGGAAAATTTTTATTCCCCTTTTTACAAAAGAGGATCTAAATTGATCCGAGATACAGTTTTTTATCTTGTTTGCCCCTGTAAAGCAACTCCATAGTAAAATGGCGTTTGAAAATGCAAGATTGTAACAGGACCATTTTCCATTTCACTTCTATTTCATCTGGCTCCAATTTGTGGTTTTGTTCTGTTTTTCCATTGAGAATAAAAAACTGGTAGTTTTTTTTTTTTTTTTTTTTTTTTCTTGAATGAGTGTTTCATTGAGGAATAGGTTATTATTTAGAACTATGTTGCTGTTTCTTGGTTCATGAATTTCCCTGGCATATTTTGACTTTTTCTGTGGAAACTCCTGTGGAGACAGCACACAGACCATTTACTGCCAGCAGCTGTTTCTGGTGTTTTTTCTCCCCATCCTTTGAGGATGACAGGTCTGCCTCTGACCATTGTCATGTAGTGGGAATAGCTTGGTTAAAGAAGGACCACAGGTACACTGTTTAGTATCTCCTCCTGCTTCTAGCTGGCAGAGACTTGACAAGACAGGAAACTACCCAGCATAGAAGTATCTGCCCATGCAAACTATTTAAGAAAAAGTTCAACCCAGGTCTTGTATCCTGTAACTTAGCCATTGAATGAATTCAGAATTCATCAAAATAATATTAACCTTATACTTGCACACTTGGATATGACATCATGGAGTAATTTTAAGAGAATTTTAGTCTTTTATATATCAGAGATATGGGCTAAACAGACTTCTTTTTAGAAAATGTATGCATTATAAAATGCCACTTAAAGACAAGTTATTGAAAAAAAATCTTTGGTTATTATGTGCCATGAGCTTGGTGAGTGGTGTGACTGTTGATGCTCCTCCATTTGAAGGCAAGGAAGGATTGCCTTGAGTAAGAATTGGTATGTAATTTCTATAATATTTAAGTTGTGTGATTACGTGAGGCAGAAATAAAGAACAAAGAAGCATTGAGGGGCTGGAAAAGGAACATTCAAGCCAAAACTAAGCCAGAAGATAATTTGGATCAATTAGAAGTATGTTGGCAGTCTCCAGTATTGAATGAAAATCATCTGGCTTTAAGAAACATTAAAGAATGATGGTCTTAAGTAAAATCGGTGTTTTTGATATTTTTAGAGTAAACACCAATGCAAAGGTATGTTTTTCTATTTTGCATTGGTTGTCTTTTCCTGTTTATATCTTGACTTGTTCTTACTCAGCCAGAGGGAAAGATTTTCAGACTTTGTCTCTACCACCCATGAGATACTTCTAGTAGCCAGGGCTTCTTTTGAACTACCGCTAATGTGATGTCACTTTATATTATTAAAAACCACTTTTGGGTCTATTCACAGTAATTCTGTTGCCCACATAAACAGGCAGGTGAAAAAGTAGAGCTTGTGTGAGAGTTTGTGGAGGTTTTTCTGAACAGTAAATGAATACAGTGTATTAGCCAAATCCACCAGAAAGGACTCACAACAGTCTCTACATTGGTAGGTCAGAAAATCTCTCTGTAGAGCAAGTGGAGTCAGTCCCTGTTGCCTGACCGTGGCCCCTAGAGCTGGTCTCTGGGGCATTTACTTGTTTATTCCTGAAGAAGACTAGCAGCTGCTGCTGCACTTCATACTGTATACATAATGTCTAGCAATCACAGGAAGAGGTGAGGGAAAATTTATGCCAACCACATAGGGGTGGTAAATGCTGGGTCTACAAAACTTCTTGGCACCTGTCTCTTTAAGAAGTGCTTATGGTTTGCAAATGATTTCTACATTTCTAAAGACTAGAAAGTAGTGGGGACAAAGTTTATATTGTATTTAGTTCTTATGGGACTGCTTAAGCAGAAACAAAAGTCAAGTGGAACCTATAATTTAGCCTGTAAAGTTCTTTTAGCAGTTGTCATAAATGCATCTGTTGTGAAATAAGAGCATTGTTGAGTTTATACACATTTAGTTGCGTTGTGGAGCAATGAAAAATGCTTTCAGGTCAGGTATATCATTACTTATGTTATCTCATGCTTAAAATCTCAAGTGATAGCTATCTGATTAAATTCCATTTTAGGAGATTGAAATGCAGAATATTAATGTTCATTGCTTCCTTTCCCAGGAGAAATGGATTCAGACATGTTTCAACAAGAAATTGATTTTTTTAAAAAACCATCTCATCCCATTGCCAAATATCACAAAAGTAGTGGGGAGTTTAGTCACATTTGGCTGTTGTGCTCTTAAAGAGCCCAGTTTGGAATTTGTGGGGGTGACCTCAGAGGGAGTTTCCAAGAAGCAGAGAGGTACTTGTCAAGTGACCCACCCTCCTCTAGTATCTCACTTGTGAGCTTTAGAGCTGCCCTTTGCCTGTACCTATATTTTGCACTTGCTGTTTAGACAGAACATTATTTAACTTCCTTTCTTCTTACTTCATTCTCCACTGTGGACAAGTGATATTAACATTCCTTTTGTGTATTCAATAATGGCATTTGTTTACCTATTTTATTTCAGCATATTTTGAACAAAGATCTTTGTCTCTTTCTGCTGGAATGTGCACACAGTGAATGTTTGTTAGAACTACACACAATAAAGATACTGTTTTCCTTTTCTTGCCCTGACTACAGTTATTTAAAAAAAAAAGTTGCGTGTTTTTTTTTTTTTTTTTTTTTTAAAGTAGAAGTGTTGGCTTTGTAATCCTCAGGTGTTTCTGAAGAAAAGAAGTTGGGACGCGTGAAAGGCCCATGTGTCAGTGCTGACACTGTGCTTAGTGTAACTTGCTGGGAGTTCTGCAGTTCCTCAGGATTCTGGCTGTAGCCTTTTGCTTAAAGTGAGTTGCTTGTTGAAAATCATAAGATGCAAAAATCAAGACTATGGCTGTATTCAGGGGTATGAATTGGGAACCAGGTAGATGGAGTGGGAGTTCTGCTTTTATTGAAACTATGGTGGAAAAACCAGTAAAAAGTAATATTTTATCTGCGATGCCATTCTTCAAATGGTTGTTTTTCTTGGAAATAGCTAAACTGTTGGGGAAAATTAATCACTGAAATTGAAGGTCTGGTGACTGTGTTAATAAAACAAGGGAAATAAACCACTTTTATAATTACCTTTAAAACATACTGATAGCCTTCTAACATTTCTAATGAGACATCCTTCATTAGGGCTTGGTCATTTCACTATCACGTGGGTTGCGGATTACTAACAGGAAAGGATTGTCTCATTCCTACTACTAGCATTTGAATGTAATTTTAATCTTGAATCCTAATAATTCAGACATATCACTGAACTCTTCCTGATGCTGAGTGCTTGACAGGAGCTTCACAAATACTGGTTGAGTCGTGAAAACCTGAGTTAGGAGATTCCAATTTTGTAAATCTAAGGTAAGAAATAACCACACCATCTGCTCAGTTGTTAGTAATTGAAGGTAACGATGATGACCTAAAACTAATTCATTTAATAGATAGCTATAACTGAATTTCAAAGACTGTTTAACTTAATCATGCATACCAGCATCTTAAAAGGTTATTTTTTTAATGAAGCATTCAGGAGAGACTAGAGTTGTTTTCAAATGAAATAGGAAGATAAAAATATTATACTGTGTCATTTTATGTTACACCATGTGCCATGCAGAACCTTTGATAGTTTATAGACATCTCCCTTACATTGTAGATGAGGATATACAAATTTTACCAGTGGTTCAGAGAGGCTCATTTGGCTTGCCTGAGGTCCTACAGGTAAAAGAAGAGCTAGAACGTAAGCCTAAATCTAGCCCTAAAACACTCAATTTCCACTGTTGGTGGTTTCCATACCAAAATAAATATGTCCGGTATATTTATTACTGATTTACATGTATAGATGTTTCTGTGTATCATCAATAAAGTGGAATCAGTAATAAACACCATCATTAGTAGATACTGAAAATAGCTACTATCTTGGGGTTGATGAAGTGTTTGTTAAAGAGAATCATTATTTCATTAGCAACAACTCACTTAAAATAACCCTTCTCTTATAATACAGTTTCTTGAAGCAAGTATATGAGGATTTAGACATGAACTATGTTACTGGAAACAACTTTGGATGAAAGATAGCCTGTAAAGGATAGAGTGGAGGAAAATTGATTTCCTTGAGTAGCACTGGTGAGAAGTTCTTGAATAACTGCCCTGATTCTGACTTCTTGTAGGCTTCTACAAAGTTTAACCTGCAACCATATATATGTTGTTTTTTATTAATGAGAAGTTAATTGCTAATAGGTTGACTTGAATTTTCCAGAACCTGTCTGTATAAGTCATGAAGATCTGATAAGTGGAAATCTGCTTTGTGCCATATAGCATAAGATTTAGAAACACTCATTTCCAGCTTTCAAAATTGTCTTATTGTGGAAAGATGGCTCAAGTTCATTGGAGAAGGCACAATGTAATGCAAATGCAAGTGCTGTTTGTTGCAAGTGTGACAAATGGCATCTTTTGACCCATCATCAGTGCCAGTCTTAAGGCAGTTTCCTATTGTTTGTTCCTGGTCCCAACATTCGTGACTGGAACATGCTAACATTAGAACCACATGGGCCTTGAAAGAAAAAGAAAAAAACTGAGGTGCTCAAATTTCATTTTTCCTTGAAGAAGTTTATTTTGGGGATCTTTTTTTCTAGTTACCTCATCTAAGTTTTTCAGAAATGGAGATGGCATTACCTTAGAACGATGGGATGATGTCCCCCAAAAAAACATTTGCCCAACTTTGCTTTAATTACCCAAGAAGTCAAAAATATGTTCCAAATAATCTATGTCCTAGTAAACATTGGCAGGAATAAAGATTTGTTTCTAATCTGGACCAACCATGTAAACTAGTGCAGTTCTGTTTGAACATCTTTGTTTAAGATGTTCAAATATTAACCTTTGTTTACATCTAAATTCTACCTCTGAACCTTTCATGGATGGGACAATAAATTTACCTTTTCTCTTAATCTACTACGCACATAATCCTGATTACTATGGCAACTTATCTATCCTTAGAATGACTGCCTTTGATATGTCCTTGAAAGGTTCTGCCTCTCCAGGTATACCTAAGCACCCCTGAGCAGAAAATTTTTATTCTGTGCCAAGTCTAGATATCTATTTTTTTTTAACTATTTATTTATGGGCCTCCCCCGTGGCGCAGCGGTTGAGCGCTGGGTTGCGAAGCTGCCCGCGGCCTCTGCGGCGCCGGTTCGATCCCCGGCTGCTCCCTGGCCACCAGAGGAGGGTCCCACATGGCGCGCAGACCTCTCCTGCCGCCCGCTGCTCCCCTCAGCAGTGTACTTCGGTCCTTCTGCCTGCTCTGCTCCCCGCTCTGGCTCTGGTGAATTCTCTCATCCCCCACACCTCTGACTGTCCCCAGTGCATGTATAAACAAAACAAACAAACAAATAAATAAATAAAACATGCCTCTATTTTAAAAAAAAAATTATTTATTTATGCATACAAGAACTGGGGTACAGGCCAGAGGTATGGGGGGTGAGAGGATTCACCAGAGACAGAGTGGGGAACAGAACAGGCAGACTGAAATACACTGCTAAGGGGAGCAGCAGGCGAGTCAGGAGAGGTCTGCTGTGCTCCATGTGGGTATCTCCCTGGCCAGGGATTGAAATGCTTCAGTGGCTGCAGATAGCTTCATAGGATGCATCTTAAACCCTGCGCCACCAGGGAGGCCCAGTCTAGGTATCTTTAGAAAAAAGAAATACCCCTCATTTTAAGAAAGCACATATTTATTGTCATAGAATAAGATAAAGAAACCTATTTAAGCTGATGTAGGTAAAAGGGGAATTATTTGTTATGTATCCGATGGAACTTAAGGGTAGAAAGCACAGCTAGTTCTCATGAGCTACTAGGACTAGGAATCAGAAGATCATTAAGGTTCAAGGTGGCTACATTAGTTTTCAATCCAAACACCTAATAGAAATTAATTCCTAAAAGTGAGAATGTGGCCAAATAGCGTATCCAATTTGGTCCCATCAAGGCAATAAGGACCCATTCTTGAGGGTTGAATGGGGAGGAAGTCAGAGGAAGCACTTAGACAAGTCAGATACTGTTATATACTTTATGTGTGTGTATATTTTTTTATTTAAGTATTTTTGTTAATGGATTACATGACTTCTGAAGGAAGGGTTACTACATTATGCTGGGCCATAGTTAGGGCTAGCTAGGCATTGAATAGATTGAGTATGAATTATCATGCTATGTCAGAATAAACAACCATAGCAAAATTAACTATTTAGGAATCCCAATTGGAACTTTGAAATGGGGCCTCCCTGGCGGCGCAAGGGGTTGAGCTCAGTGCTGTGAAGCTGTCTGGAGCCTCTGCAGCGCAAGTTCAATCCCCAGCCAGGGAGCAACCCACATGGTGCAGCAGACCTCTCCTGTCTCACCGGTTGCTCCCCTCAGCAGTGTATTTCAGTGGATCTGCTTGTTCTGTTCCCCACTCTGTCTATGGTGAATCCTCTCATTTCCCATACCTCTGGCCTGTACCCCAGTTTTTGTATGCATAAATAAATAAATCTTAAAAAAAAACTGAAATAAATCCCACCGTAATGTTCACATCACTAATAACCACTGCCCCATTCACTCCTGTATACCCACAAACCAATCCTGTTTTCTCTGTAAATAAGATTCAGCTGTCAGTATTTAATGGTTTCATAGAAATATTTCATAGCAATATTTTAGACTTTATTGTTTAGAGTAAATTCACAGAAATATTGTGAAGTTAATACAGAGAGTTCCCACAAACTCACTTTCCCACTGTTAACCTCTTACACATTAATGTGGTATGTTGGTTGAAATTAATTAGCCAATATTAATATGTTATTATTAAAGCCCAGGCTTTGTTCATACTTCCTTAGTTTTTACCTGATGTCTTTTTTTCTGTCCCAGGATCTCATCCAGGACACCACATTACAGTTAGTCATCATGTTTCTTTAGGCTCCTCCTGACTGTGAGAGTTTCTCAGGCTCTTTCTTGATGACCTTGACAATTTTGAGGAATGTTGGTCAGCTTCATTGTGCGATACCCTCTTGGAATTTGGTCTTTTTCTCATGATTAGGATGCACTTTGGGTTCGATGGAGGAAGACTACAGAGGTAAATTGCCATTTTGTCACCTTATAGCAAGTATACATACTATCAACATGATTACTACTGTTGATGATCTTGATCACCTGGTTATAATGTTTATCAGTTCACTAAAGTTACTCTTTGGCAGGAACTTAACATAGTATTACATACTGGAGGAAGTTAGTCACATGCACTTAAGGAATGGGGATTTAAGCTCTATCTCCTTGAGTATAGAGTACATAAATTATTTGGAATTCTTCTGCACAGGAGATTGGTTTGTAAAATTTTATACTTGATTGATATTTGGATTTTTTTGTGTGTTTTTTAATTTATTTTTATTTATTTATTTTTAAAGATTTATTTATGCATACAAGAACTGGGGTACAGGCCAGAGGTGTGGGGGGGTGAGAGGATTTACCAGAGACAGAGTGGGGAACAGAGCAGGCAGACTGACTGAAATACACTGCTGAGGGGCCTCCCCGGTGGCGCAGCTGTTGAGCGCTGGGTTGCGAAGCTGCCAGCAGCCTCTGCAGCGCCAGTTCGATCCCCGGCTGCTCC